AACAAATAATGGATGCGATCAATTTCTTCGCTGTGTCAGCGCTACGTATAACTTAATGCGCACTGTGTTCAACCTGTGACCTGTGCGCTACGAACGCGACGTACGATATATCGCTGTATGCGACGTATAGCGTTTATTGAAGACCACCGCCTAATAGTTGACTTTACTTAATACTATTGCTTGATATGATTTTTAAATCTGTTTTAAACTACTTTATGAGAGTAGTTAATATTTATACAAACAACTATTCTTAGCACGGATACACCTTTACATCAAGACTGAATTTAAGTGAACAAATTTGTCTTAAAGTCTCTTTAGATCACACAGAATATGTCTTGTATGTTACATTTATTCATTATGATTGCATACATATATAAAGATTGTCCGTTTAAAGGATATTGTCAATCTCTACAAAAAATAACATCTGTTCCACTTTAGCAGCACAGCATTGTAGTATTTTTTGTATTGTTTACATATCTAATATAAATATAATTTTTTACGGACTATTTTAAATCGACTAGAACCTACATACTGAGGATCACTGACTCGATTCTATTGTCTCTACAAAAAATACTGCTAAAAACATTGCAAAACGGCATTAAAAATGTATTTTTTTTTAGAAATAGTTTATCTGAATCACAGACACATGAACCCACAAACAAATACACTTATATGGAAAGAATACAGTATGCAGTTCAATATATTTATAGTTTGCAAAAACAGAGCGAAGCACAATGTAGTAGAATGAAAAAGGGTAATTTTTAAAGCAAGCAAGTAAATGAAATGAGTATGTAACTGGATGAACAAAAAAAATACCATTGATTAGAAAAGAATAAGCGATTAATGTGATTGAAAAAAACAGTAAATATTTTGGATTGATATCTTCAATGACCAAGAAGATTGGTCAATATCGAGATTGCAAGTATTTAATATTTCCATAAACATTGGAAAGTCCAGGATGTAATAAATCACAATGATTTATCAGAAAAAAATTTTATCTTTTAAAAAAACAGAAAATTCATGTTCACAAGGAACCTAGTCTGATCGAGACCTAGGTAGCCGGGTATCCCAAGACTCCTATTGTCCACTAGAATTAGCAAGTCCATTAATAGACTCGTAATGTCCTTCACTTGGCTCGGATGGCTGAATGCCGAACCAAGATCTTGCCATCTCTGGTAGACCAGTGGTGGGCACCTGCAAAAGAACATGAGAAGAGATCTTCTCGTGGTAGCATAGACAGCTTGTGTCATCTACCAACCGACTAGATTTACAGAAGCCAGTGAGCAAACTGACTACCAAAAAGCATATTTTGGAAAAGCACAAAAGCACAGAAAAGCACCTAGGACACTTTTGTATTCCAGACTAAGCTTGAAGTTAACTCTGGATGCTTAGATTTAAAAACAGTTAGGGTCATGCCAAAACAAGTTCTATTAACTATCTTTTAAGCACAGACTTAAAAGATTTGTTTGGAGTTTTGCTATTGTGGGCCCCATGTTTGTGCATTTTGTATAAATTGAATTTGCTGATTGCTTATAATTTTAAAGCACTAAATATTGTGAATCATGAGTCATATGTCACCCTGTATTTTCAAGACTAAAAGAAATAAGTCTACTTAAATTTTAAATTCAATTATTGCACTTTTTTTGCAGTTCCAACATCAACTATTCTGCAAAATAGTAGCAATTTTGAAAGTCAGTTTTTATTGAGCATTGTTACATATTTTAAAACATTATAATCAAGCAGAATGACACGAGATCCTTGACTATAAAAACGGACAACTATAAATAATGATTTAATTAAAAATCCTTTGTAATAGGTATATATTTAGGGGAGGATGGGCATCATGGACCATGGAGGTAATGTAAACCACATCGGTTATTTTGTTTAAAATTGGCAACACTGCATCTAGTAACTACTACAAATATGCGTAGACATCTTATCTACTTTTTAGTATGAGTTTGAACGCACGGGGAGTACGTTCAGACGTGTTATAATTAAAAACACGTGTTTCGTCGCTGCTGATCTAAGGAATTTACTACTTTTGACTAAAGATTTCTCGGTAAGTAGACATGATTATTTTAACTTTTTGATACTGTGGTGTTGCTTGTAAAATGTGCTTTTAATAATTAAGATTTGCTTTTGATACGTTGTGAACTGGTACGTTAATTTCCATATTTTGAATGTGTACTACGCATGGGGCAACGTGTACTAGTAGTGGTTCACATTGCCCCATTATATTTTCTTGACACTTTTTTATTTATATGCTTCTTTTGCAGTTAGAAATGGTACGAAATTATGTGAGGAAAACTGAGCAACAATCCTGTTCTCTTGTTGCCTTGAAGAATGCTATCCGGACAGTTAAAGCTGGGGAGATAGGCTATTTAAAAGCTAGTAAAGTTTATGGTATCCCGAAAGCAACGTTAATTCGCAGATGCAAAGAAAAAGTAACATGAATTTCTCCTGACGAAAAGGGTCTAGGTTTCTACAAAACGGTTTTTACCAAGGAACAGGAAGAAGAATTGTATAATTAAATCTTAGATATGGAGAAGCGTTTATACGGAATTACTTTGCTTGATCTTCGTCACCTAGCTTTCCAGTTAGCCGAAAAAAATAACATAGACCATCCATATAATAAAACAAACAAACTTGCAGGTTTAGATTGGGCGTAAGGATTTCGAAAACGGCACCCAGGGCTTTCATTACGTAAACCCGAATCAACATCTGCTGCAAGAGCTGAAGCTTTTAATCGTTACAATGTAAAACAATTTTTTTATCTGTATAAAGCTACTTTGGATTCTAAACATGTCAATCCAACGCGTGTTTTTAACTGTGACGAAACAGGTCTAGGTACAGTCCCCAAATGTAATAGTAAAATCTTGGCGCATAAAGGACGGAAACAAGTTGGACGGCTTACTTCTGCTGATAGAAGTGGAATAACAACAGCCGTTATTTGCATGTCATCATCAGGAATCTTCATACCGCCGATGTTAATCTTTGCAAGAAAGAGAATGAAAGTCGAACTCCAAGCTGGTGCACCTCCAGGTTCAATATTCGCCTGTAGCGATAGTGGCTAGATAAATAGTGAACTCTTTTTAATATGGTTTCAACATTTTCTTCAACAAACGAAACCAAGTGAAGACGATCCGATCTTATTGATTTTGGATGGACACAGCAGCCATACAAAAAACATAAAAGTAATTAATTTGGCTAGGGAAACATGTACATATCATTTGTTTGCCTCCACATTCCGCCCATCGAATGCAGCCAACCGATGTTGGTGTCATGGCTCCTTAAGCACGATATTATGATATGGCATTAGAAAAGTTTCTTAATAACAACCCATTCAGAGTGGTAACAGCTTTCCAAATCTCTAAAATTTTTGGTGAGGCTTTCTTACAAGCTGCAACACCTTTGACTGCTATTAACGCTTTTAAAAAATGTGGGATAGTACCTTATGATCCCAATATATTTACAGACTCCGATTTTGCACCATCTGCTACGACTGAAAGAGATTTGGTGAATAATAGTCTACCAGTGTCAAGTCAAGATGAGGCAATTCCTTCAACTTCAACTGCAGAGCCTCACTTAAGTCAAGATGAGGTAATTGCTTCAACCTCAGTTGCAAAGCTTCATACTGGTAACGATTTTCAATTGACAATTTCCCCTGCACACAATAGAGCAACAACTTTATTTGGAGCAAATAGCCCTAAAGGCATTCGTCCTCTGCCAAAGAGAAGTAAATTAATGGAACCAAAGAGGAAATCTAAAAAAGGTAAAACGGCTGTACTGACATCTAGTCCGTATAAGCTAGAATTAGAACTTGAAATAAACACGAAGGGGGCAATAGAAACAATGAAAAAGGAAAAAGCCAAGAAAAAAATAAATGATGATAAGCACGAAGATAGTGAAAGAAGTAACAAAAAAATAAAAGTTTGTCCTTCCAAAGATGGTAAGGGAAAGAAAAAAAATAAATGTAACCATCAGGTACAAGATGATGGCAATGGTGAAGATGCTGAATGTTTTTACTGTAACGAGTGGTTCTCCTCATCAGCCAATGAAGAAGGATGGGTACGTTGCTCGGCCTGTCTGAAATGGCCTCATGAAGCATGTGCGGGAATAGATCCAGAAGATGATGAAGAATTTCAGTGTGAATTTTGTATTTCGGAATAAATATAACATGTGTCTATTTTTACTAATGTTCTCTTACCGGTTTTCTAAGTATTTTTAATAAAAAAATTCTTTTTACTTGATTTTATTTACCAAACATAGCCATTTGATAATGAAATAGTGTGACTTTCCTCAGTAGTTCACATTGCCCCACCCTATGGGGCAATGTGAACTTTTGACATATAGTCAGTTGTCATTTTTTTGTTAAAAATACGTTAAATAAACTATGTTTCAATTGCAACTAATTGAAAGTTAAATGTTTAATGAACGTCCCTAATTAATTAAACAAACAAAATCATTTCTGGTTTAACAGTATGTGCATATCTTCCTTAGATGGTTCACAATGCCCCATCCTCCCCTACGGCCCAAACGGGCTAAGTTAAAAAGACAAAACGTTTTAGGAAACCATGTTCCATCATCAGTGTCTAGGAGTACATGAACGTAGCCACCAAGAGTAAATATATGGCTATTATATAAAACCCGTTAACAGATGTTTAATTACATTTAGTTTTAAAAATATGTTATAATTATTTAAGATTATAGAGTTACCGATGGATTAGGTAACATGGCGACATATGACTCCACGTTGAAGTTGCTAGTTCTGAAACGGTATGTCTTCGAGGACTGTATGAGTGCAACTCTGTATCAGTTGCACTCATACAGTCCTCGAAGAGATACCGTCTCAGAACTAGCAACTTCAACGTGGAGTCATATGTCGCCATGTTACCTAATCCATCGGTAACTCTATAATCTTAAATTTTTAAAATATTTTTAAAACTAAATGTAATTAAACATCTGTTAACGGGTTTTTACCCATATATTTACTCTTGGTGGCTACATTCATGTACTCCTAGACACTGATGATGGAACATGGTTTCCGAAAACGTTTTGTCTTTTTAACCTAGCCCGTTTGGGCCGTAAATATATACCTATTACAAAGGATTTTTAATTAAATTTTTAATACATGGTATACAGCCAACTACATGAACGTAGATTCCTTGTGGATTTATAAATAATGATACATTTTATATTAGTGCCTTTATGTGATTCTGCTTCTTTATAATTCATAACTAAATCTGGAATTATCTTACTAAAAAATAAATTAGGTTTAAATAATTGCACCTCGTACCCATTGTCATGAGTCTTGGTACAGTCTTTAACAGATCTACATAAATATCAAAAAATAAAATTTTTTTCTTATAAAACATAAGAACAAATAATTTTTATAACGTCAATCTAGGTTAATGATGCAAAGTGGTTTTTAAAATTTTGAATTTTGATATCAATCCTCATTAAGTATTTTTTTCTCACTGATTATATTAAGTAACTAAAGTAACTGCAGCATTATTGTATGCAACACCGTCATTACTGTAGTCTAGCTTCCTGCAGGGACTGAGCCTGAGCTGCAGTCTGATACGGAATTCCCGGAAAAGCCCCAGCGGTTGCTGTGGGCAGTCCAGGCGTCTGAGGCAGAGCGGCGTATGTGTAAGGCATGTAACTCGCAGCACCTGGAAAATAATTAATTATTTAACAGCACTGTCAAAATAAAAGTCAGGAAATTGATAACACAAAGTTCAACAGGAAAGTTACGATTTTCCCAAGACACTCTTTGATACAGGTATCTAATAACTGCTTAACAAAATATGTAAAATAGTAAACATCATTTTTCCATTTATAAACGTAGGTAGTTATTTTTTTAATTCCAGTTACGGCATTTTTACATAAATTTAAAAAAATATAATAACCTGCGACCCTTAGAACATGAGTTAGCACTTTTTTTCATGCTAAAACCTCCTCAGGAAAACAAACATTCAAGAAAAAGGCACGAAGTTCCAGGCAGCTCGCTCGTTTCGAACCAAGGTACGCTGCAAGTAATTAATATAATATCATCATCAACTAGCCTCTAACGTCCACTGCTGGACATAGACCTCTCGCATACTTTTCCACTTAGTCCGATTTTGCGCCATCTGAATGCAATTTTTAGTCACTCTTTTTATGTCATCTGTCCATCTCGTTGGGGGTCGACCTCTATTTCTGTTAGCTTGTATTCGGGGCTTCCGTTCCAAAATTCTTTTTGTCCACTGGTCATCAACTGATTTTGCTACATGACCTGCCTAGTTCCACTTTAGTGTTGTTATCCTTTCAATAACGTCTGCTACTCCTGATCTTTTACGTACAGTAGCATTGGGTACTCTATCACGTAGAGAAATCCCATAAACAATATTCTCTCCATTGCGCTTTCCGCAACTTGTAGTTTACTCACTGTTGTTGTTAGGATTTCTGCGCCGTAGGTCATCACTAGCAAAATACACTGATTAAATACTTTTCTTTTCATACACATTGGAATCTTAGACCTAAAAATATCCTTCATCTTTACAAATACACTCGCCCAAGCGAGGTTTATTCTTCTTTTCAGCTCGATTGTTTGGTTGTCTCGACTTATTCTGATCTCATGGCCCAAGTATTTATAGGACTTAACTGGCTCAATATCTTTGTCTTCTACTGAGATGTTTTTGTTGTAGACTAAATTTGCCATAAATTGTGTTTTTGAAAAATTTATTTTAAGACCAATTCTTTTTGTGGCAGTATGGAGTTCTTGGAGCATTGTCTGTGCGTGATCAAAGCTGTCAGCAATAAGAACGATATTATCTGCAAATTTTAAGTGATTTAAAAAATTTTCCATCTACATTGATGCCCTTTTCGTTCCAATCTATTGTTTTACAAGCGTATTCTAGCAAAGTTGTAAATAATTTAAGAGACATGTTGTCTCCTTACCGAACGCCTGTTTCAATACGAAAGGTCCCAGTATCTCATTAAGTCTTTACACAGGCTGTAGCATGCTGATAGATATATCTGATGAGAAATATGTATCGGTGAAATATTCTACATTGTGTTAGAGCTTGAAGCATTTCACTTTGATTAACCGTATCAAATACTTTTTCGAAGTCGACAAAGACAAATATCAGGGGTCTATTATATTCAATGTTTTTTTCAATTAACGACTTAATGGTTTGCAAATGATCATTTGTTCCGTATCCAGCTCTAAATCCTGCTTGCTCGAAAGGTTGATAGAAGTCTAGTTTTGATGTCAATTATCTTCATAAACAACTTATAAACATGAGATAACAAGCTAATAGGTCTATAGTTCTTTAACTCTGTTATATCTCCCTTTTTGTGCATGACTACTATAATAGCTCTATTCCACAAGTTCTCTTCGTGTCTCCATAAGTCGTTTTGCCTGTTAACTGATATTTTCCTCCTTATCTCTCCTAGGATTTGTATTGCACTTTTTCTCTGAGGTTTTAATAGCTTTTATTAAGTTATCATTTAAGGTTTCGACATCCATAACGTCTAAATTTGTTGTCTGTAGACATCTCAGAATTTTCTCTTCAAAGGACATGGTGCTTTCATTGGATTCTATCCAATTGGGTGTGTTTTTGTTATCATTTTGTATCTTTGTTTATGGAGATTTAGCATGATCTTCGCTCTTACCATTCTATTATCACTTTCCACTGAACAGCTATTAAGAACTGTTACATCATGGACCATGTCTTTGTTGTTGGTTAAGACAAAATCAATTTCATCTTTGGTGACTCTATTTGGACTTGCCCAGGTTCATTTTCTTTGAGGACTTTTTTTGAAAAAGCTATTCATTGCAAAGAGGCCATTTCGTCCCAAGAAACTCAAAACATGTCGCTTCTTTCATTTCTTCCCGCCCGAATCCGTAGGGACCCATTGCAACTTCGGTCCCGTCCAGTTTACATCCCAACTTAGCATTAAAATCACCCATTACTAGGTTGTGTGTAGAAGGCGCCAGTTTGACCGCATTTTCTAGGTCTTCATAAAAGGTTTCCACTTCCTCGTCCGAGTGTGTAGATGTAGGTTCATAGGCTTGAATTATTTTAAGGCTTTTTTTTTTGTATTAGGAGTATTATTCTTGGATTGATACCTTCAAGTTGTAGGATATTTTTAGTGTGTCTCTTATGTATAAGAAGTCAAACTCCTCCTATTTTTTCTTTGTTTCCCATATAGAAAAGTTGATGCCCTGATTTAAGAGTTATACAATCTTCTTCGCGTCTTACTTCACAGAGACTCATAACGTTCAGTTTGATGTGTTTTAACTCTTCTTTAATTCCAGTAATTTTTCTTCAGATGACAGTGTTCTTACATTGTACGTGGCGATATACATTTGTCGTCGTCCGTGGTAGCCTGATCTAACCCGGGGATTCTTCGCACCCTCTGTTTGCTGTCTTTCTTGATTGCTACCTTGACCAAGGATCAATTCACTGCCGGGGACTGAGGGCCGTGTTTTTGTCGTGTCAAGCATGCTTGGAATTTAGCCATACTCTACCGTGCTGGCAAGTGCGAGTTGAAGGTGGGAGTTTTAAAAGGGGAGATAGGAAAAAGGTATGAGGTCCTGACCCCCTCAGGCAAGCAAGGAGGGAGAACCAGAAGCTAGCATAAGGCAGAGTCACTAATCCCTGTAGCATCCTGTCTTCCACTGGGATTGTAGAAGAGTGCTACCTGCCACCTATAAGTTTATATCGACAAAAGAAGTATCGGACGACAAGAGAAGAAGAAGATGAACGCTTTTTATTATCTACATTAACAGCATCATAATCAAATATCGAATTAAGCAAAGGTGAAAGAGAATCTTCTCTTTACACGCAAAGTACAAAAAGTTTATTTTTATTTTATGTGTCAAGTTTTTTTTTCACAACAGCACGTTTTATTCGTACTGACTTCAATCTGTCATGTCCGGCAGTCAGAACAATATTTATTTGCTAGTGTTACGGCATTGGTGATCGTTATGTTGCCAAGATTATTTGGCAATTATGCAAAAACAAATATAACAGCTCTTGTCAACTAAAACTTAATTTACTAAAAATATTATGGACAGTTTGACTGTTTGCTTAGTTAGCCTTGCACCATTTTTAATTCAATGAGGTTTTTTAAGTAAATTTTCATGAAGTGAACTTAAATAACTGCATATTATACCGGGTAAAACATTTTGAAACTTTGGATGACTCGAAATTTTGAAGAGCATTTCGGAACTTGTTAATCAAAAACCAATTATTCTAGAACGTTTGTTCTTTATAAAAAATAGTAGATATTATTATAAAATATCGCCAAAAGTAACAAAGGGCAGATTGATTGGACTAATCCTATATCTATTATATATTCCCGCTAGCTGTCTAACCGATGACACACTATTAACAATATTCGCCGGTAATGCTGTAATTTTTTTCTCAAACGCTGATCAGCAAGAGCTAAAAAATTTCAGAATCGTCTAAATCTGATACAACTTTGGTTAAAGTTGGTTACATGAGCACATGTTATGTTTATAACAAGAAGTTATTGTACGCCACTAAACATAGATCATTCACCATTCTCTTTATCTTCATCCCTATACGGGGTCAGCTTCCTTAATTACATGTCTGCATAAGTTTCTATTTCGGGTCATATTGCCAACGTTTAGTTCCATACATCATAGCTGGACTTGTGACTGTTTTATAGAATTTTCCCTTTAGCTTTATTAGAATTTTCTGTCACAGAACACACCACTCGCTTCCTTTCACTTCATCCATATATATATTCGGTTTTTTAGGCGTTACGCCCGTCCGGTAGGGATCTATGGAGGAGTATCACCGAGCCGCAAGCCCTTATCTCTTGCCGTACTGCTCCACCATAGGCCGATCAGATCCCAGCATATTCTAGTCTAAGCCGCAGATTCGTCTAGAATTTTAAACTGCTGCGTTAGGCTTTTTGTTTTCTGTACACCGAGCTGGGGCTCGATCCCACATCCACTGAACCATTCGACAGTGAAGCGAATGAGAGGCAGCCGCACAGCCCGCTGAGCTATCCGACCGACTTCATCCATCTAACCCTAATTCTACTATATGTATTTCCATCTATTTCCCCATTAATGTGTAATACTGATCCTAGATACTAAAAACTATTACAATCATTTCACCGTCCAAAGTTTCTTTCAATGTTGGTTCCTCAACTAGTTGTTCTGATGTGTGGTGAATTATTTCTTCTTGGTTTTGTTCTTTTTCTGAACTTAAGAGTTCTTGAAAATGCTCCTTCCACCTTTTAATTAGTTCCTCTTTCTCGCTGATAATTGCCCTGTTTTTGTTCTCGCACACTGTTGTTCTTGTCAAGAGCCCTTGAGTGTATCACTCGGATTCCGTGCAAAATTTCCTAGTCTCTCTTTTGTTATGATAGTCTGTAATTTGTTGTATTTTTCTATTTAGCATTTTCCTCTTTTTCTTTTTACATATTCTCCTTGTACTCCTTTTTAGTTCTTCATATGCCTTTATATTCAATCAGGAATTCCTTTGTTGATATTTCTGCCTAACTGATTACTATTAGTAAATCACTATTAGTAATTGTCGTTTGGATGATATTCCATTTGTCATCGATGTTATTTTCTTCTCCTACTTCATTTAATATTAGATTTATTTTCTGCTGGTACTGATTCTTTTCGTATGATTTTTAAACATATAAATAGGTGGTCCATTTTCTTTATTGGACACCTTTCTCTTTTCCTACCATTGGTGCTCTTGGTTTTATCTTTGATATGACCAAGAAATGATCTGAAATACGTACTACTTTGAATTTATGCATCTGAACCATGAATATTGTTTTCGTCCAGGGTTTATTTGACCTTAAACTTCGTTAAGATTAAACACGTCAAGATGGCATTTAGGAAAACATATTTTTATTTCGTAGAATATAAGACAAGCATGAAACCTTTCGCAAAATATTTTGCCTAAATAAACATCGTGGACTCTAATTTTGTCCGTTATATAAAAGTTATCTTACCTGCAGCTCCAGTGTATGGAGTATAAGCGTCAAATCCGTTAGTGTACTGGCCGGTGTACGGAGCAGCCGCAGCTGCTGCTACTGCTGCCGCATTCTGGTACTCGTAGAACTGCGAGGTTGCAGCTGCTGCAACGGCTGCGGCGTGCGTCAGTTGCGTAGCTTGTAGAGGAACTAAGCTGCCAGGTGCTGTTGCTGCCAAATATGGTGATGGGTAGACGTAGCCTGGTGGAACTCTGAAAATATTGACGAATAATTAGCATACTGAGAGATGTGTGTAAATTGTGCGAAAAAGCAAACACCAGAAGACTCAAACCTTTGTGGCCGATATACAATATAGCAATTATCGTACAGATTAAAATTCAGTGACATAGTTATTCAAATAACTCTACAGGTGAGTTTGTTTTTTATCAACCACCACCATTATAATATTTGTTTTGATTTTTTAACTTTATTGTTGCTAACAATGAAGCGGCATCATTGAATAGATAGAGGTACTACGCGGAACAAGATATTAATAATAACATAATACGAAACCAGACACTTAGATATTAATTTATTAAGATATTTATATAATATTAAGAGGGTTGTCAGTTATCTAGGTGTCGATATCGATGCCGACCACACCTCTCTAATTACTGATTTTGAGTTTAAACTCAAAATACTATCAAAGAAAAGAATATACACTGAGATACATGATGAATTAAGAGAACCAACGGTTACAGACAAGATTGTACAACTATGTGCAAATAACTATCCACAATATAGCAAATGTCTGGATAATGCATGGAACAACATAAAATATAACATTTAAAGTGTTTCGACACCCTTCCAGGGCCATCAACAATAAAGAAAAAAATCATGGATTTCCGATGAGATACTTTGCCTTATGGAGGATAGAAGGATTACAAAAGTACAATAAAAAAAGTCCAGAAAAATGGTCTGGCAGAGAACTTGTGGTGTGTAAATCTAAGAGCAATAAAAAATCAATGGAGTCCTTGTCATAACAATTTGAACGCAGAAGTTTTGAACACAGGTTTGGAACACCAAGAAATCAATACACAACCGATAGGCCTTGTAAACATAGACCACTCGTAGTGTTGGGAAGTTTATTGTAACGATATTTAGTCAGTTGAGATAACAACCGGAGAGTTAATCGATGCCCTCAAAAGATCGAAAAACGGTAAAGCAGCAGGACCTGGAGACATCCCAATTGAGTTGGTAAAGGAGAAATTAGTCTACTAAGAATGATGTTTGAGAGGGTTTTATATGCCGTGTTTAGGAGTGAAATTCCTCTAGAATTCGCGCATTTTGTTTTGTCTCCTTTTTTGTGGATGGACACTATTATGTTTTCCTTCCATCGTGCTGGTCTCCTTTCTTCTAACCATATGTGAGTTATTAGCTGGTAAATTTGGCTATGTAGTGCGTCTCCCCCATATTTCAGAAGTTCTGCTGGTATCTCGTCCGTACCTCGCGCTTTGTGATTTTTCAGATGGGCATGTCCTTTGTGCTGTTCTTTCTGTATGATGTTTAGAAGGTCCCTAAAATACTCTTTCCATTCTTCAGTTACTTCTTTACCGTCGATCATTATACGGCCTTGATTGTCTCTCAGTGTATGGATGGAATTGGTTCTATCTCTCCTCTTTTCTCAGAGGAAATTATAGATTTCTGTGGAGCCTGGTTTGGTCGGTCTCTCTCCATAGCTTCTCTTTTCATAGCTGGTTCTTTTCTTTGTGCGTATTATTTTTCTTGTTTCTTTTCGTAAGTCGTCATATTCCTTTTTACTTTGGTCTGTTTGCAGTTTTCTTCAAGTCTTCCTTACTGTTTGTCTTTTTTCCAGCTGCTTCCGACATTCCTCGTCATCCATATTTTTGCCCTCTTCTGCCTAATCCTTCCAAAGATCTTGTCCGCTGTCTTGGTTATTATTTCGGCAGTCGTTTTCCATAGCTGTTCTATATCATTGTATTCTCTTTCAGAGTTCAAGGTTTGTTCAAGTTGTTCTCTATAGTTTTGCTGTTTCTCTGTATTGTGCATTTCGTCCATGTTCCATTGTGGGTTTATTGTTGTTTTATTGTATTTGTGGCTAGATATTCTGGATTTGATTTTTGCTCTGACTGTCTTTTTAACATTGTTATCATTGTTCATTAAAACCAAGATCATATCGTTGCTTTTAAGCATTATTTGAGTACAGTGCTTCTAGGATGTCGATATGACATTCCTTGGATATGTCAACAAAGCCAATGTCATATAATTATTACAAAAGATAATGGTAAATTGTGGGTGACAAAGTCATTTCGCTTCTAAAATGAACTAATCGATATTTTCACATGAAACAAAAAACATAATACTTAGAAGACATGGTTGCAACCGAAAAACAAGGTTTTTTGAAAATCTGCTAACGGAATTACTTCACAGTATGTTTCAAATGAGAATAAAAACCACCTTTCGATTAACTCCTTATAGGGTAATGGAACCAATCTTGGACACTTTAAGAACCATAAATTTTATTTTTGTACTGGTAATTATTAATACTAAAGTATTTTATTAACTTTACATTCCTGCTTATTGCTCAGACTTTCTTTAATCAGTACAGAAGTTCATTTTACCAAAATAAAAACAAAAACATAAAAAAATATATTTATTATTAATTAATGTTTTTTCTCCAGTAATGGACATCGATATTTGCAATGGATCCTAATTTGGACAGTTGCATACCCAGTTATGGACACCGTTTTTATATATGGATAGAGAGGTTCAAAATTATGGAATAAATTCATTTGATCAAGAATACGCCACTTTTGGGAAAAATCCTGAGACAGGTCGATTTTTATTTTTAAATTATGATTTTTCGAGATATTGCCGTAATAGTGCCGTTATCCATGTGGGCGTGATGACTTAATCGATGATTTTTTTTTAAATAGAAATAAGGGTAGTGTGGTAGCTCATTTTAAAGGTTATTCAATTGTTTATTCAGTAATATAAACATTAACATCATTATTTGATTCTGATTCTCACTTGGCTCTGGAATTGAAACTATGTCCCGTATCTTTTTCCAAACATTGTATAGATCCAATGTTGACTCTTGCCCATTCCATGCCTCTTTAGAGTTTTGTGCTTTCATAGCATTCAGTGTTTCAGGACTGATGTTACTTTCTAAAATATTTAAACATATTTTTATATCATTAGACGAATTTTGATTGTTTTCAGGAATATTTTCTTCTTTACTAACCCTCTGTCTACAAATTATCTTTGATTAATCCACGTTATTTGGATTAAAAGGAAAGAGGCCACAAACGCGAAATCCGTTTTTAATAATAGCTGGAGAAATATTCATTCAGAATATTTTCTAGGAGAGTAGCGACGTGATGTCTCATTAAGGCTGATTTTCGTTTTCTGTCAACCATTTTCTGACATGCGATTTCCATTGACATTTCAATGGGTAAAAACAGAAACATCCAGAGGTTGTAATACATGCGTTGCATTTGGATAAAATGCAACTAAAATGATTTGCTTTTCACGCAAAAAAATACTTAGATGTAATGTCAAATGAGATTTGTGCCCATCCACAAAAAATATAACGGGTCGTTCTATGTTATTTTCTGTCAACCGTGGCTCAAATATATTTGCCATGTATTCAAAAAATACCTCTCCTGTCATCCACCCATTGGCCGATTTGCCCAGTCCCCAAGATTTCGAAAATTTGGTAACAATATCTGCAGGTACCCTCTTATATGGATATACTACCATAGGAGGACAAATTTCTCCAGATGCTGATACCGTAAGTAAAACAGTGAGATGTTCTTTTTCTGACGTTTTTGAAACACTATAGATATTTTTATCTCCTTTAGGAGCCAAAACTTTCCCAGTTTTAGGGCACAATGAAATAGCTGTTTCATCAGCATTAAAAATTCGATGGGCATGTTCTAAAATATCAGAGTAGTCATTATCTTTGAAGTAATTTGAAACTTCTTGAAACCAATTGCGTATATCGATTTCTGTTAATTGGCCACAATAACCGGTAAGTTTCTCTGACGTCTTTAACGTTTATGTTGGGATGTCTGTTCAGAAACGATCGAAACCACTTTTTACCGGGAAACCTTCGGTAAATGGAGTTTTTCTATCTAATTCCTTTATTAACTTGGTGACTGTGTCGACTAAGCATTGTTTCGTTACAGGAAACCCAGCTCTTGCAATATCGATAATCCAATTAACAATGCGATCTTCCTCATCTGCAGTGAGAACTGTTGGAGGGCCCATGTTGCATACCTCAGGACTTATTCCTTTAAGCTTATTGCGCAACGTAACACGAGGTACACCAAATCTTTTACTTGCAGTTGCAACTGGCATATCCATTTTTGCTGCCGATAGAGCTTCTGCCATTTGAGCGGCGGTATATTTTTTATGTCCCTTTCTATCCATCATAAATGACCAGCTGTAAAATAAAAAAACAAAATTATTTCTTGACACCAGTAATGGACATTTTCGTATCCATTATTGGACACTCATTTAATGGCCATGTCCAATACTGGATCCACTCAACATATAGACTTCCTGTTTATAGCAGAAGATAGCATTTTTTATTTCTATGTATTTACCAGTGATTTCAAATAAAAACGTATATGCCCTTAAATGGACACCCTGTCCATTTTAGGAACATACGTTTAATTGTAGATCCAGTGATGGACACCCAAATTAAATCTTTTTAACGATAAAAATTAACTACAAAGAATAAACACACATTAAACTACATACCTTTACTGTTGATTCACTTAAGTAAACTTAATAAATCACCAATTTTGAAGTTTGTATATGTTAAGAAACTAATTCACTTTCTTACAACCAACGCTAACAATACGACTGTCTTCGCGCCAAAATTGTCATGTGGTAAATTATGTTCATTTTAATACAACTAGCGGCATCCAGACCAAGCAGCTGCAAACAGAGCAAATATTACAGATTTCTATTGGAGGTTTTACGTGTTTGTGGGGGTAAATAGAGTAACAGGTTGCTTGATAATATGCATTAATTTGTCAAGTGTCCATCACTGGTGCCGTGTCCAATACTGGTTCCAGTACCCTAATAAGTATATTTTAATTAGCTAAAAATTTCTTTTTCGTTATGGCTAAAACGAAAGGTGTCAAAAAAGTTAGTTATTAAAAAAGGTAGTGCAAACTGACATATTAGTCTTATAAGCAAATACAGAAGATCTTTAATAAGCCATCGTGAGTTTGCAAAT